ACGGTAGGAGTCTTGTTCACAGTTTAGTGTAGTAACAGTGGACTGACTAAACACACGGTAGGAGTCTTGTTCACAGTTTAGTGTAGTAACAGTGGACTGACTAAACACACGGTAGGAGTCTTGTTCACAGTTTAGTGTAGTAACAGTGGACTGACAAACCATACGGTAGGAGTCTTGTTCACAGTTTAGTGTAGTAACAGTGGACTGACTAAACACACGGTAGGAGTCTTGTTCACAGTTTAGTGTAGTAACAGTGGACTGACAAACCATACGGTAGGAGTCTTGTTCACAGTTTAGTGTAGTAACAGTGGACTGACTAAACACAGTACTTTAGATCTACGAGTGTGTCTGTTAAAACCTGTATGTGAAATGAATTAAGTATATTGTACATTAGATCTACGAGTGTGTCTGTTAAAACCTGTATGTGAAATGAATTAAGTATGTTGTACATTAGGTCTACGAGTGTGTCTGTTGAAACCTGCATGTAAAATGAATTAAGTATATTGTACATTATATTTATTTGCGTTTTCTCACTTTTTAGCCATCACAATAAAATTTACAAAACACGTTGTCCGAAAGTGTTTATATGTTGTAAAAAAACTGATAAAATCGTTGAAGGATTTGATAACATGTTATGAGACTCTTCCATGGAATTTACAGAAGCTCGACAATCGTTAAAGCGCCATCTGTGAACAACTATAGATACTCATTTAAAACTACTGAAACCGGATATTTTGCATAACATTATAGTATCAGTTTTAAGAAACACCTATGGATTATTGTTCAATTCCTCATGAAATGCGTTTATTTCTTTATTGTAAAAGGCGTTGATGGATTTTTGATATTTTGTTTTTATCTGAACATCGTCATTTTCTACTTGCCAAGGATACCACATACAATGTAGCATCTATTTTTTGCCAACAGACGCATCTAACCCTACTTCAGTGGTTGGATAATCCTGGAGGTCACTGTAGTACCCTAACTTAGTGGCTGGATAACCCCATTGATTACTGTATTACCCTATCTCAGTGGTTAGATAATCCTGGAGGTTACTGTAGTACCCTACTTCAGTGGCTGGATAACCCTAGTGGTTACTGTATTACCCTATCTCAGTGGTTAGATAATCTTGGATGTTACTGTAGTACCCTAACTTAGTGGTTACTGTATTACCCTATCTCAGTGGTTAGATAATCCTGGAGGTTACTGTAGTACCCTTATTTAGTGGCTGGATAACCCCATTGGTTACTGTATTACCCTCTCTCAGTGGTTAGATAATCCTGGAGGTTACTGTAGTACCCTACCTTAGTGGCTGGATAACCCTAGTGGTTACTGTATTACCCTATCTCAGTGGTTAGATAATCCTGGAGGTTACTGTAGTGGCTGAATAACCCTAGTGGTTACTGTATTACCCTATCTCAGTGGTTAGATAATCCTGGAGGTTACTGTAGTGGCTGGATAACCCTAGTGGTTACTGTATTACCCTACCCCAGTAGTTGCACTTATCAACCGTTTAGGTGTAAAGTGTATAACTAAACAATAACGTTCACACTGTCCCCACCTGATACGAGTACTGGGTGTTGACGAATCTCTTGAGGGCTAACATGTGAACAGGTAGAAAGTCAATAGACAATAACTTGCTCATGTCTCGAACGTCGCTCAAGTTTAAGAAGACTTCACCAGCAAAGTCGTTAGATGTGATGGTATCTCTGTCGACGACCATCAGGTGCAAAACAGCGCCTTTCATGCTTAGTGCCACTCGTGGGATATTAGGGCTAAAATCACAAGTAAACAACAGTTACATGGGAATATAAGTAAGAGTAGTAACAACAGACTTTTTAAAACTCACGAATCGTAAATTTACGTTAGCATTGTCCAGATTTACCGTACTGTACTAAATATGGTAATAAAAATACCGTTTTGTTCAACGTACAATTCAAATGTTTCATTATACACAGGATCGACAGTTTGGTAACGAACATGAGTTCGCTGTGGTTGAAATCCAGGAAACATGGCGCATGGTCTTAGCCCAAGTATCACAAAAGGATCGCTCAGACCGGATCGGTCTAATCCAGGTAAACTCTGGGCGTTCAGAACTGAAACAAAAATCTTAAGTCTCACAATCAGGTTACATAACCTTAACCTACAAAAATCAGGTTACATAATCTTAATCTACAAAAAATCAGGTTACAGAACCTTATCGTACAAAAATCAGGTTACAGAACCTTAACCTACAAAGATCAGGGTACATAATCTTAATCTACAAAAATCAGGTTACAGAACCTTAACCTACAAAAATCAGGTTACAGAACCTTAACCTACCAAGATCAGGTTACAGAACTTTCACCTACAAAAATCAGGTTGCATAATCTTAACCTACAAAAATCAGGTTACATAATCTTAACCTACCAAGATCAGGTTACATAATCCTAATGTTTTTAATCAAGTTACAGAAGTTGTTTTATTCGTTATTCTGACAGTGACTGTAACAAGTGTCTTCCTTTTCTTCCAAAAGCTGTGAAAGTTCTTATATTTTTTTTTTCTACGACAGAACTGGACCCCTGGACATTTATATATGTTAGACCGAATTCAGTATCATTTACTGAATATCTTGAGTTTTATGATTGGGGTATAAAACGTTTCTAATATAACAAGTAGTTTTCTGTAATACATCTTCGATTTCTGTATGTGTGTATGTAAATGCACGAGGAGACTTTCCTTGAAAACACCTTATCTCTATTTGGTTAGATCATTATAAAGGAGTTAAAATATATATATTTATTACCTTTCACAATAATATCTATGTGATTTTCTGCAGATGACTTGTAACCAGTTCGAAATGCTAGATGTCCAATGTAACCTAGCCCTCCTGGTGTTTTCTGACAGAAACAGAAGTGATAAGACACTAACAACGCTACATTAATTTAAAATCTACACTCAATAAATCTTTGGATTAGAACATACTTGATAACGTTAATTTAATTAAATATATTGAGAGTAAAGTGGTTTAATTAACTTTTGAATGTAACTCAGTAAAGCTTCGTGACATGCGCAGAAAATAGTTTAAAAGGTGCCCAGTCCTGATAGGGTTAAAGACTTTCTATAAAGAAATGCTAAGAAAGTGATAACAAAATATCGTAAGAAAGTTTATATAACAGGAAAGTTTATATTACAGCCACATTAATCTGTCACCCGGTTTGTCAGTCGACTATTGTTACACTAAACTGTGAACAAGACTCCTACCGTGTGTTTAGTCAGTCCACTGTTACTACACTAAACTGTGAACAAGTCTCCTACCGTGTGTTTAGTCAGTCCACTGCTACTACACTAAACTGTGAACAAGACTCCCACGGATGAAATGAATTAAGTATGTTATACATTAGATCTACGAGTGTGTCTGTTAAAACCTGTATGTGAAATGAATTAAGTATATTGTACATTAGATCTACGAGTGTGTCTGTTAAAACCTGTATGTGAAATGAATTAAGTATATTAATACAGGTTTTAACAGACACACTCGTAGATCTAATGTACAATATACTTAATTCATTTCACATACAGGTTTTAACAGACACACTCGTAGATCTAATGTACAATATACTTAATTCATTTCACATACAGGTTTTAACAGAC